GAAGCCTGGTGGACACTTTAAACAGTCCTTTACACCTATGATGAAAATAGAGACAAATATCAACACAATGGTAGATTTATAGGGATGCGCTTTAATGAGAATGAAGGTTTTAAGAATGAAATGTTACTCAGTGCCCCCTGATGTGGGGTGAAGGTCCCTTGTGGGCATAATATCTCACTGAGTGTGCCTGCTGGACAGTACCTCCCACGGGCACAAAGCAAGCCAGGACCCGCAGAACCTACAAATCAAAGAGGGTTTCAAGTTTTCTGACTTTTAGTCCATTAATATTAGCTTTTGAGGATAGTGTACTTCTAACTTCATACACACACACACACAAAATTATAATAAAAGTGTTCAAATAAAAACAAATACTGCATACAAACATCTCTTTAATATGATTGTCTGTTGTTTTAGTATTAAAATCTTAAAATTACAAACATTTATCTACATGTAAGGTCTGTTAGTACAACAGTAAATTGAATAAACAGAAATGAAGATGTGTTTTAGCTTAAACACAAAGCCATGATGTAAAACGTCACAAACAACTTTTCCATCTTCTCTGCACTCCAGACCCACATCAAACAATCTTACAGCACATCACACTCAGGAAACAGCTGAGGGCAGGAAACGGTTCAACAGCAGTAGATCATGTTGGTTTAGGAAAATAAAAGTTGCAGCTTACTGCAATCTTCGCACAAAAGCATAACATTTAGCTATTTATGTTTCTACAAAAAGAGTATTTCTATAGAAAAACAACCAATCTTTCACAGATAATGTCATGAAAACGAAAAGCAAAACATAATGTATAATATGCATATGTGTGTGTGTGTATGAATGCAATCATGTACTGTACAGTATATGTGTGTTTTGGGTTCATGCCCTAACCTGCGGGACAGAAGCGACCCTCTGCACACCTCTTGCAAGCTGCCCTACTTGTCTGACCCAGTTGTCCTCCTGCGGTTCCAGCAGGGCAAGGTGACCCGTGCGGCACACCCGTGCCTTCCTCACAGTAATACCCTTGTGGGCACAGAAACTGAGAGCTCGGCCTCCGAGAGGTGCCCTCCAAACAGTAAAAACCTAGGAAGAACAAAACAATTCCAGCTATTATCATGTACATTATGATCATGCAACATTTAGCTCTGACCCTCGAATTTGATAGGCTATGTTTGTCTGTTTACACATTCCATACAAAATGTCAGTCTGTGTATTAGTGGTGGTGATTTTAAAGCGAATCTTTCTGCAGGTTACATAATTACACCAGTAGGTGGTGACAAGTGACTGTCTTTATGAGTGAGTCATTAAATCAAACAACAAATTGAATCAAACAACAACAATGGCAAATTTGTGTTTAAAAACTGTGTGAAAACCCATTGCAAAATCTGCTTGGGGAAATGTTTCACCCTCACGCAAAATTCCTGATCATACAGATTCCTATTGGAATCACTGGATTTTGCCCATGAAATTTTGCAGAGCAATGGTAAATGTGACCACGTGTTTAGTGAAGTTTTCGAACGGATTCCTATTGAAATGACTGGATTTATCCCTTGAAATTTAGCTGAGCATTGGTAAATTTGACTGCATTTTAGCTACCTATATTGTGTTAAAATGCAAGATACTCATTATTAACTTTTTGTTTACTGAACTGTTGTATAAAAGGCATTTCACATTGTGTGCTTTTCCTTTTGTTTCTAATATTTATAGCCCGTTCAGTCAATCAAACCATACTCTTGTTACATTGCTTAAATGTGACATTGGCAAATAGATCCAATATGTAAAATGAATACTGAGATCATTTAACATTTAAGTAAACCTGTAGAACAATGCAAATACCTGCAGGACAGATAGCACAGTCCCTTTCTCTCTGCAGCCCCTCCTTTGGTCCATAAGTCCCTGCCGGACATTGTATCGCAATATTTGCAACACAGTAATGCCCTGAAAAACAAATGATAACACTCAAAATGTGGTACTGAGTGTGAAAAACAAGCAGCCCAACTTGAAATACTGACTCACCTGCAGGACACACAACACAGTCTGATCTCTCTCCGTCTCGGTATGTCCCATGGGGACAGGAGATAAGCTGTCTTGACCTCTGACCAAGATGAGACTGTCCCCTTGACCAGACCGGAGTCTCTGTACTCCTGCAGGCTGAAGAACCATTGCATTTTTTACACTCAGTCTGGCCCGGCATGTCTGAATACTGGCCCACGGGACAAGGAAGAGGTGCGGACATCTTTTTGAACGGACAGTAACTTCCTTAAAGAGGAAATTGAATAAAATGCATAGGGATTTACAAGGAGTTTCGTGTATGTAAGCATGTATGCCTGTTGTGACATTGATACTTGTGTTTATTTTGGCTTTAGCAGGTGCAAGCAAGACATCAAATGCATGTGAATTAAACATGGGACTCCACGCTTACCTGCAGGACACAGTTGACATTGAGCACTGCACAGAGTGGAATAGTAGCCTTGAGCACACTCAACACACTCCATCTGATTGAAGTTTGGTTCTTCTCCGGGGCCACACTAAAATGGTAAAACAAACCAATAACCAAATGCGTTGATTGAGTGTAATTTACCAAAATAGAGAGGAAAATTTGATCTTAATTAAGCGGCATTTTAGTTTGTGCCCACCTTTATTTGAAAGCCCTCTATGCAAACAAAGCCAAAGGGGCACGGCAGGCACTGGGTGAGTCCCTCTGGAGAATACTGTCCTGAGAGACATGCTGTAAGGTTGCCTGATGTGCTGTCACAAGAGAAACCAGCGGGACAAAGCTTGCATTCCACACGGTCTTCTGTGCTAACCAAACCTGGGACACAGGGCTTTAAGAGACAATTACAAATATATACTTATAATAAGGTTCACTTTACAATAATTAATTGATGCATTAATTGATTCATTAATGCATTAATTGACATTAACTAACAATGAGCAATGAACGTTTCTTACAGTATTGTTAAAATTAGTTAATAAACAGCTGTTCATTATTAGTTCATGGCAGCTCAGGTACATTAAATAATATTAACACACTGTAAAAAATGATTCCTGCCCTCAGCAAATATGGCTCATTAAAATAAACAGATTTTACTTTTAAAAATTCAGTTTTGCACATTACTTAATTTAAAGCTACAAATGTTACATATTAGTAAAAATGGAAATTGAAATTAACATGAACTAAGAATAATAAATGCTTTAGAAGTATATTTGTCCTTGTTAACTCATGTTAACAAATGTACTTAATATTAACTATTTGAACCTTATTGCAAATTGTTACATACGTGACAGATTTTGTACCTTTTTTTTTCTGAGAGTGTAAACACACATTCACATTTTTTTATTAACTAGTATACCTGGCAGTCCTGGATAATGCTTTTTCCAGTGTAAGGGTTAAACATGCCAGTGGGGCATTTTCTGGGTGCAGACACATTACCAGGACAGCTGAAATGCAAGGATAGGAACATATGTTTTTATTATTATTTTGGAGGTTTAATACAACTACATAAAATCTTCTATAAACCTAAAATCACACTTACAACTGCCCTGCAGGACACTCAAGACAAATCCCTGATGAAAAGTAGGTTCCCTCTGGGCATGATATTTGAGTCTGATTACAGCAGATTAAATACTCTGAACCCTCAGTCCTCATGTCACCTCCTGCACCAACATATTAAAAAAATAATTACTAACTGCATCAGTTATCAATAAGCACACTGTATCATTGACCAATATTCAATCAGAGACCACATTTCATTTATTTAACACACTGTATGTAATGAATTCCATCTCATGCTGATGGTACTTACCTGATACAAAGACATTCCATCTCTGTCTAAAGCCAGTCCATGTTACGCAGAAAAAAAATATAAGGAAATACTGGTTCATGGTGATCGTTTTTTAAGCTCCCCGTTTCATCGCAGCGGACTTCTGTCCTCGGTCGCTCTATGGCCCCTTAAAGTCTATCAGTGAATAGGAACACCTCAATAATTGAAAGTGAAATTCAAGCCATGTAACTCAATTCCAGTCAGAAGCCAGTGATACACTCACTGGGCAGAACTGTACACTTCTAGAATATCAGTCTGTTTTTTAAACCATGGACTGTACAGGATCTTATTTACCTTTCGATTTCTTAATGTCTAAATATTTTACACCTACATGCACTTACATTTGTATTGATATTCTGATATCAAACAAACAAAGAGGGGACAAAAATAGCAATAAAAGATAAATTTTTGTTTTATGGTATTAGAAAACCAAATAACATGCATTAAAAACAACATGCAAAACAGAGTACATGTTCAAATAGATTATGACGGAGTGACGCTGTCTTTTGTGGTAATGCGAAGGCAAGATGTTTCCTGTTCCTTTACATTTGGGTGAAGCTTCAAACTTCTGCAGCTGTGCAAACCGTACTAACCCCAAGTTTCCACTGCAAAGCATGAATGTGATCCAGTTTACTGCAGCAATGGGCTGATAAATTAATCAAACTGCTGGGAAAGTCACTTTGATTCATTAACATGGATGTTATCAAGAGTCAGACTGTGAACTTCTTTTAATATCACTCATGCAATTTCCATTTAAATTGCTTTGATACATGGAAAATGCTAATTAGATAAAAACAACAGTCTGTAAATAATATGTGGGTTAGAACTGTGCCATTGTCTTTGACAATCAAATGTATTGTAACTTCCTTAAGACATACCCTGTATTATTTTATTTATAATAATTATTATTATATTATTACATAAATAATGTAAATGTCTTGGTTAAATGATCAAAGAATACCACAGTGCCATGCAAATCAAGTCGCAAAAGGCCCAGTCATATTTTTGCCATGCATTACAATGTTCCAACAGCTCAGTTAACCACATTTTCTGGAGGCAGGTGCTATTCTTAAACAAAGCCCACCTCATGGGGAGGAGCTTCCCTTAGTTTTTCTACCATGCTATAAACTATTTATCGTTTATGCAGATATAAGAAAAAGTATCTTGAATGAATGCCAAAACATGTTTCTGATTCCTGTGATGCTACTTTTACAACTAGGATTCCAAGGTAATGTCATGGAGATGCTACACTATCATTTAAATTTATTATGAATTATGATATTAGTTATGTCTATTATATTCGATGTTTCTGTAAATACTTATAATAGTATTTAAATTAATATATAAGTGCAGTTTCTAGTTGCTGTTAACTTCGTGGCTCTTTACAGATGCTATGAGTGCTGGAATCCAGCGTGAGATTCAGAATGCAAGACTCCAACAGCCGTTTACTTTAAACTGTACCTACAACTGTTCCAATGGCTTCATTCGTGGTAAATGGACATGGGAAGACACTCCAGCTTGTAGCAAGTGCCACTGGGATCATAAGATGTCAAAGTTAGGAGATGTGTGCACTGTGAGCTTGTACATACCTCATCTAATTATGGAGCAAACACGTTATAACTATTCTTGCTTTTCTGAAGAGAGTGACCACCCGGGCCTTCCTCGTAAAATGGAGCTTCTAGTAACACTGCAAGTTCATGGTAAGAGGTGTTTGACTTTACTGCTAACAATGAATAACATACAGTATAATGTATTTAAAAAATAGAATAGTTCACCCAAAAATGAAAATGTGACCCCGGACCACAAAACCAGTCTTAAGAGTACATTTTTCAAAATTGAGATTTATACATCATCTGAAAGCTGAATAAATAAGCTTTCCATTGATGTATGGTTTGTTACGATAGGACAATATTTGGTCGAGATACAATTTTGACTTTACAACTATTGAAATTACAACTATTTGAATATCTGGAATCTGAGGGTGCAAAAAAATCTAAATATTGAGAAAATCGCCTTTAAAGTTATCCAAATTAAGTTCTTAGCAATGCATATTACTAATCAAAAATTAAGTTTTGATATATTTATGGTAGGAAATTTACAAGATATCTTCATGGAACATGATCTTTACTTAATATCCTAATGATTTTTGGCATAAAGAAAAAACTATAATTTTGACCCATACAATGTTTCTTTGGCTATTGCTACAAATATACCCCAGCGACTTGAGACTGGTTTTGTGGTCCAGGGGCACATATTTCCTGAAAATGTAGTCACCCTCAGGCCATCCAAGATGTGGATGAATTTGTTTCTTTGTCAAGAACAGATTTGGAGAAATGTAGCATTACATTACTTGCTTGCCAATGAATCCTCTGCAGTGAATGGGTGATGAAAACAGCTGATGAAAAAGTTACAATAATCCACAAGTAACACACACGACTCCAGTCCATCAATCAGTGTCTCATTTGTAATAAACAAATTCATTAAGCTGTTCTTTTATTTTTAACTTTCAAAGTATTGCTAAAATACAAGTCCTCCTTCCATTGCTTACTCCAGTGAAAAAAGTCGTCTTGTCTGAATCAGGAGAGAAATATATACAGATCAAGCACCAAATTTACCAGTGTAAAAATTGTTTTACACAAGTATGTCAGTGGATTTTGATGTGACAACAGGCAATTAATTTTTTCACTGGAGGAAGCGTTATTTTGAATTATTGCCGATAGTATTTTGGCCATAAGTGATGGTGTGAAAATGAATGCATTAATAGTGGATGTTTTTCTTAAAAACATGCATCTTTTCATTTCACAAGATGTTAGTTGATGGGCTGGAGTTGCTCAAGGTCTTTCTCAATTTATTATAAACATAAAAATACATTCATATATGTATATTACCTGTCAAACGTTTGGACTAATTACCATTTTCAATGTTTTTGAAAGAAGTTATGCTCACCAAGGCTGCATGTTTTTGATCAAAGCTACAGTAAAAATGCTGTTTTCTGTATTAAGCTGGACAACTGTTTTCAACATTGATAATAATAAGAAATTTTCTTGAGCATCAAATCAGCATATTAGAATGATTTCTGAAGGATCATGTGTATTTTAAAATATATTAAAATATAAAACATTTTAAATTGTAATAATATTTCACAATATTACATTCACAGTAGTGTATCTGGGACTGGCGGTAACATTCAAGAGTTAACTGGTCAATATAAAACAATATAATAATTTTTTTTAATTTATTATTTAATCCCACAGACAGCCAGAGTGACCATGAAGTCCCTTATGCTGACATTGTGATCTCTGTGAGAGGATCCAGCAACCCGGATCTATCTGGCACCTTTAACCAGACTTCAAAAAATCAAAGACCAGTGAGAATTAATATTATTCTAATATTCTTAAACACACACACAGAAAATTATTCAGGTAGTCTTCACAGGTTTGTTTAATCTCATGGGACCAGATGTGTGACAGTGTGAATGTGTTTTGCAGAGATGGAGAGATGAGGCCAGAGCAGGGCTACTGCACGCTTCAGCTGACAGACTGCACATCCACTCGAAAGAGGTTACTAGGAAATTAAGCACAACGTCTGAATATGCTGTAATTACCTACTCCTGTGAGGCTCTTAGTTAGTTAGCTACTTCAAAAAACTGCATATCTGATAATAAAAAAAAATAGAAGGCAAAATGTGAAAATTGTGTATAGCTGTCTGCCTAATTTATGTTGTCTGTAATTAAAAAAACTATAAAACTTTGAATGCATGTGTGAACTTGTGTGTGTTATGCTTTTATAGGCTTGAAGGAAATAATTACTGCATTACTTTTGCTTTGTAGCACAATTTCTTTTTTTTCTTTTTTTTACTGTGTTGGCAGATTTGCCCTTTTTGACCAGGAAGGTCTGTATGAATGGTTTTAAGTAATTTGTAGTCCTAAAGTCTAAAGTCCAATTCCACAATAAATAAATAAATAATAAACACCTTAATCACCAGTTCAAAACCCTCTAAATTGTTATTATTTTTGTCAATTTAAGGAGGAACTTAACCCAAACTAACCTATATACCCTGTTTGTTAACTTATTGGAGAGAACTGTGGCCTTGTACTGATTAAAACTTAGAAATTCCTAAATGAATTTATTCATACTTCACACATTTTGCGAGCTTTGGACTCTGAAAGGTGATTATGCTATTTATATGTCCAAAAATATTATCATATTTACCTGCTTTTGTACACGTTTTGATACTGTTGGAAAACTATAGAATAATTCAGACTGGGTAATGAATTTAGAACGCTTGACCGATTGACACGCGATTGGTGAATGCGGGCATCGCCGAATTGCAAAGAACTGACAGAAAACACGAGACACACGACAAGACTGTAAGTGGGCATGTTTCTCAGGTCGGTAATCTCGATCGTCAAGCATTTATCAGTGACACTGAGCAATGGCTCATAAAACCCGAGCAAAACGAGTCTAGCTTCGAACAAATGTTATGGGATGCAGTTATGGCGTCATTTGTTTGGCATGTGTTATAGTTATGCAAATAAGGAATTAAACTTGTAAATCATAGCTTAATGATACATAGCATTTCTATAAAAAAAATGCTGCTCCCAAAGTCACTAGACCTGATCTTTTATTTTAATATTTGACAATAACATTTTTAAAATTCCCGGCGGGAGTCCCCAGACCACTTGAAATATTTGATACCTGAGAGACCAGATACCTACAGTATTATACTGTGAGTGTGTGTGTGTGTGTGTGTGTGTTTATATATTATATATATATATATATATATATATATATATATATATATATATATATATATATATATATATATACTAGCAAAAATACTACCCGTCCATTTATATTGCATGTGTAAGCAGCTACACAAAATACTGGTGTATCCTACTAATGTTTTTCCTTTCGAACAAGCTACTTACTTAAAGGGGTCATATGATGCGATTTCAATTTTTCCTTTCTCTTTGGAGTGTTACAAGCTCTTGGTGCATAAAGAAGATCTGTAAAGTTGCAAAGACTAAAGTCTCAAATCCAAAGAGATATTCTTTATAAAAGTTCAGAGTCAGCCACACCCGCGGTGTGTGACGCTGTGTTTCGTTGTGAAAGCGAAACTACTTTGTTTGGCCTTCCAAAAATGGACACGACTAGAAATCAGTGGTTAAGTTGTATTTACAACACTGTTCCAGAACACTTCAACCCAAATATTCAGATCTGTGCAGCGCATTTTATGGAGGACTGTTTCCTGATCCTGTGTGTTCTGACTCAAAGACTGTAAGTACGTCTTTTATATTTAAAGAGTTTTTATATTTTATATATTTAAAGCGAGTTTTTTTGGGCAGTGTAGAGTAGTGCTTGTTGTTTGTCATTTCTCAGATCATAAATGCAGACATGGTTTTATGTTTACACGGCACGATGCAATGCAACGCATAAAAAGACAGTATAAATCATTATAATCCATAATTATGTCCCCACTGGATGCAACGAATGCCTCGTTTATAATGGGTTTTCATGTTTTTGAATCATCGCTCCGGGACACGGCATCACAGTACGGTAAGGGGCGTAACATTTCCGTCACACGCTTGAGGTATTCGGCCAATCACAACGCACTGGATAGCTGGCCAATCAGAGCACACCTCACTTTGTAAAAATCGAAGCGTTTCAGAAAGGCGGGGCATAGAGGAGAAACAATAATGTACAGTATGTGGGAAATTATGTGTTTTTTTAACCTTAAACCACATAAACACATTTCATTACACCAAATACTGTTCTTTTTAGCAGCATCACATGACCCCTTTAAATGTGAAACGTTTGACCCTCTCTGCTTTCGGTAGTTGGAACCATGTGCCGGTTGCATAGCAACGGTTGACAACATTCTACTTGTTTAGAACGGTAAGAAATATCACACCAGTACACCTGCAAAATGATTACATATATATTGACTATCGATTTAGCAAAACAAGAAAATATGGGCTTGACATCACAAGTGTTACAATATGTCAAAGGCCAGTTTGTCTTTCATTTAGATGATTTTAGCAGATCATATGTAATGTGGTGTAGCCTATCATGCAGCAAAGCTAAATGAGAAAATCATCTTCTTAATGAGAGAAAACTGTTTTAAATTATTTTTGTAATTATGTGGAATTGTAACATTGTAAAAACATTGTAAATTAGCCATTAACCACCATTAACACAATTAACGTTGAAAAAACATGTATTTCCCCTCATTAAACTCAGACCTGAGAGCTGTTTAAGATGTCTGTTCCTTTCTCCAACACAAACCTGCGGATCCCTAGAGGCTTTGGGAATTTATTGGAGTGTCTTGCTAAAGAGGTGTTGAGAGACCAGCCCGAGGACATCCCAACCTTTGCTGCTCTCTACTTTACAAAGCTTCTTAGAGCCAGAGAAGGTGACTGAGATGTTTTCCTATGAACCTGATGTTTAATAGTTTTTGATGACATATGAATTACTCATATATGAGTTAGTCATTACATGCTTATACAGCATGCCTTTGTCCAAGCCATGGCAAAGTTGTTTTGTTTGAAAGTGCTTGTATTGTTAGATCAGCTATACTATCAATGCATGCTTGAAAAGAATAAATGTACAAATTAATGTATGGCTTGTTCCAGAAAGTGGCCTAGACCCAGCAGAGTGGGTTGCAAATTTGGAAGACAGATTCTACAATAATCACTCATTTAAGGTAGCAAAAAAAATAAAATAATTTGATTAAAAATAAGGCAACACTTTCTGAAACTTTAGATTATACTAGTTTCTTCTAATGTGGTGTTTGTGTTTTTGTTCTTCTGTGAATAAGAAAGTATGATTTCGCTCTTTCACTCCCCCTAACTGTTTTCCAGATGAGAGAACAGCCAAGATTGAAGTGAAGCAGTGTGAGATTTTAGATGAAAGTGTAGACAATAAAACTGAAAATTACTCATATAGGATTACGATTTCCTTGATTCTGGTCATACATTCTTGCAGTGCAGCAGTTTTATAGAAGATTATAGCAGGATGAAGCTTGACGAGTGGCTCTCTGTTTCTGAGGCAGGGCTTCGATCATTTGATCAAGCAGAGGGTGGCTTTTGGAGGATTGATTGTAGTGTCAGAGCACAGATATGCATCTGGGTTGTACATTAAGATTCATTTATCACTCCTGTTGTACTTGTTTGTGCTTCTATTTACTTACATTATCAATCACTGTTGCATATAAAAGTATCCTTGCCTTCTTACATGTCCATTTTCAGAAACGACGCTGGCCATTTTGAAACTTTGGGAAACAATGAAACCCTAAGCTCCCCATTGAAAGACCTCAACATTAATAATTCAGAAGAAACTGAAGTAAAGCAAAAATTTGAGTTAGATAAGAAGTTCGATGAGGAATCCAGTGAGAGGGAACATGGATCTGCTGCTGATATTCCCTATGTGGGGACGGCAGATGTTGATATATGTGCTCAGGAGCTAAAAGACCCCAGCGGGATTCCAGTACAAACATCAGAGGTACTGAAGGACGAAGAGGTTGCAAAAGAAGCTGTAGATATTGATATCTGCAGATCAGAACTTGAGCCTACACCTTTGCCTTCCTTTGATGGTCTCGCAAATGTGGATGTATGTGCTGAAGAGATAAACCGCCTGTCTGAAACTACTGAGAACAAGAGAGATTTGGAAAGCCCAAAATTAAATGAAGAACCGTTTGAATCACAAGATGAATCTTTTGTTGAAGCCCCTTCACATATTGAGCAGGATGTAGGCAAACACGCAAATGAAATATCTGATGATGATGATGATGGCCATGCTGAAGATGCTGAACAGGGAGTTTTAGAAATGGCTGATAATTTATTACAAGACACTGATCAAGAGGAGAAGAGCACTGAGCAGATTTATATGGAGGAATCAGCTGAAAGTACTACTGAATACACAGTTGAAGCAGAGCAGGATTCACAGGAACATATTGAAGAAAAAGATGACTTACCGGACAATGAAAACCAGGAAGAGACCAATCATGAGTACAACAGCACCAATGACTTTGTAGAAGATGCAGCCAATTCCACATCTGATATTAATAGTAGATCATTGATGGAAATGAAAGACACATACATTGACTACAGTGATGAAATGTATGACAGTAAAAGCGAAGTCATAGATGTTCTAGATGAAGTGCACCATCAGTGCTATACTCATACAGGTGAGCATGAAGCTGAGCACAGCACTGATCAACATGATAATACCTCTAAAATGATCAATGAAATGAAGGAGGAAACCCCAAAGCTAGTTTCCCAAATGAACGACAGTGAAACAGAAGACACAGAGGACATGATAAGCAATGAGATTTTAAATACTGATGTAATCGATGCTTCTGAGAAAGATCTAAACTCAGAGAACGTAGATGAAGGGAGTGATCTTGACAGTGATGGCTGTGATGCTGAAGAGATGGATCTGGACATTTTGAACATGCCTGATCAAAATATGGTAAAAACTGAAGATGAGGAGAATGGTTTAACCCATGATACTGAATCAAAGGAAGATATTTTGCCTTCTGAAGCTGAAGAAGCTGATCTCAGGCCTTTAGAGGGAGAAACAGAGGTTATCGGTGAAGAACAGCCTACAGAGTGGCAAGAAAAGACTGAAAACACTGAGAATGACACAGACCAAGAGGATCAGTTGGAGGAGCAAAGGAAAAAAAGCCAGGAATCAACACTTGAAAGTGAGAACCGGGAGGATCCTGACAGCAATATACAAAAGGTAAGGTATTTTTGTTTGTTTCTTTTCTTTTCTTTCACCCCCTTCTCATTTGGTAAACAAAAATATGGTATTTGTATAAAAAATATGTGTGATGTGAAATTTAATATAAATTTAAATAGAAGCCTCATCCTATAGGGCCATGAAAATAATCACATTTTATTTAGAATTACGATTTTGGCTTCCCATGATTATGAAAAAATATGCATCGAGTCAACAGTTATTGTGTCACATTCTATTTTGAAGTCAAGTGATGCTCTCGTTTTGTAATCCAACACACCTTTACGTGCTTTCGTTCTTCCCTAAATGTTTAGTTGTTTTCCTTTGCTTGTGGAAGTGTACTACAACATTTTAATATACTTATTAATATAAATACTATAATTAATATACAATTTTAATATAATTATCATTTTTATAGTATTTTATTTAAATGTGTGTATATACACATACATATATATGTTGTTTATTATTTGTACATTTATTTTTATTTTTTTTCTCTTGTATTATAATTGAAGTTCAAGGAAAGCCACTCTCAAAAAAAAAATGTGTTAAATAAATGAAAAAAAAGTGCCAGATCTATGAGGCGTCTATGAAACATTCCAAAATCGATGAGTAATCGTGTTAAATAATCGTGATGTCAATATTGAGCAAATAAAATAAATAGTTAACGTTAAATAATCGTGATTATGATTTTTGCCATAATCAAGCAGCCCTACACCATTCTTATCTTGGATGCAGACTATTCCTTTTGTTGTCCCAAGTTAGTAAGTAAAAATAAAATCTTCAAGGACTTGTGAGATCAACAGTTTGGCTCTGTACCTCTCTGGAGAACAGTGATTGAAGATGTCCCTGAAATAGTCCAGCTGGTGAGTACAAGACTGCGAGAGAGTCAAAAAAGCTCAAACGATGCATACATGCCATATCATAGACACTATGCAAAGACCCAAACAAATGATTGCAACATTTCATAAAGAAATTCAGAAGGGTTTAGATCTTTAAGAGGTCGGAAGAATATCCATATGCTTCTTTAAAGGGGTTCGAATGAGACCGACTTAGTGGTGTTTCCATGGAAACATTTCACCAACCATTTATCTGAGGGAGAAACTGATCTAGATTTTGGAGTTGTGTGATATTTCCAAAGAAACAGAATATGTACCCTATTAGCTGCTTCACTTTTCAATCCTCGTCCAAAGTGGAGTGTTTCGAGTTCTGTAGGGGTTAATTAGAGACGCACACACAAAAGCAAGGCTCTCATCTTCTCGCTCCAATGTAGGTCATCTAACCTGACCTATATCAACTTTGTCCAATGACTTTATATGCTGTAGGAGGAGCAAGGGAATCGTGTAAGTGCTATTTTCAGGAACAATATTCATGGCTATCATCAATCACCTCAGCTTCTTGGAAACTCAGTGTTTTAACTCTTTGGTGCTCTGTGAACCGACTTCATTAGCTCCCAGCCTTACACCTCCAGCAGATGCCAAGAAAAGAGAACTGATACCATTACAGCACAAAGCTGCATCTTCTCTCTTTAATCTTGGTAGGGTAGGAGGCAGGATATGCAGCAGTGCTCCAGAGAAATAAAGGGCAATGGATTTACTGTCTGTTTGTCTTACAGTATATTGCCACAGGGTAGAGGAGGCACGGACTGTGTGGGACTGACTGTGATGTGAGGAGCTACTTCTAGTATTTTCTTAGCTTATGATGATAGCCCTCAGGAATATTTTGGACTGTGAATATTTAAAGTCATGTTATATAATTAGTTTGGACCATGGTATGTCTCTTTTCAGTCATTCTCTTCACTGCAAGGCTAAATCAAGTATCTGATCCTATTGATAACAGGTGTCAGGAAAATGAGAATAATGGTGGTGTAAACGTCAGCATTAAACAAAATAGTTGCAACGAGCAAAGACCTGTGAGTGGCAGAGTGATGATGCTCGTGTGCTCTCTCTCTCTCTCTCTCTCTCTCTCTCTCTCTCTTTCTC